CAGAGGCACCAACTATGATTCTTCCTTTAAAATTATGATAATTATGCACAAAGAGAAAATCCTCTTCTGCCAGCTATTTGTTGATAAAAAGCCGAAAAAGACACCTTGTGGTGTTTGACAAGACAGCTGTAAACCTGGTGTGGGTCCTCAGGTGTGATTCCAGGACCTCCTCCTGGAGGAACGTTCTGTAGAAGGGTGGGAACAGGAAGAGAACGTGATTGAACCAGTTTGACCAAAGTCAAAGTGTTCACAGCACACTTGCTCTGTTCAATGCCTGCCCAAGACTTGTGTTATTTGAGAAATTAGAACTAAAAAAACAGAAAGTGAATAATAAAATGTGAACAACTGGAGAGGAATGGAGAGTTCGTGTTCCAACCTCTTCCTCCAAGACCACTCAGCCTAGGTGGGTGGGACCCTGCCACCAGGAAGCTGGCCCTGGGAAGCAAAGCAAGCTGGGCTCTGTCACGCCCAGGGGCTGCAGGTCACAGAAACGCCACCAGGGAGGGCGGGGGAGCTGTGGCTGGTGGGCAGAGCGCACCTGCCCCGGAGCCTCCCAGGGTCCAGGAGCCCGGTTGGTCACCAGTTCTTGGTTATGCTGGGAAAGCCAGGTCCTCTAAAGGGCCACAGGCTAAAACACTTTCCAGGTTGTGAAGCCACAGCGGGGCCCAAGGGGGCAGGGGGCCAGGCCTGGCGGAGGGTTCCCTCTGGGTTTGGTTGCACTCTGTCAGTCAGGCCTGCTCTGAAATAGGCCCAGGCTGGTGGCCAGGAGGAGGTCCTTCTGCCCAGGGTGCCCTCAGTACCACCTGTGCCCGAAGGCTCTGTGCTGCCAGGAGGCCCCTGGCTGAACCTGAGCGGCCCAGGAGCCTCCGAAGAACTCCTCCATTCAATGGAAACTCAGCTTGGAGATTCAAAAATAGGGCCTTACTTTGTGTTGGTTTTTATTCCTGTACTTAAAACATTATTTGAAGAGTAACAAGAGAAATCAGAGATCGGAGAGCGGCACTGACACAGGGACTGGTCCACATGTTCATGTTTATCCTGGTTATAAATTGTCTTCTTATGATGCTGAAAGCCATGTTGAAATTAGGTCATTTTAAAAGAATTTATTAAAAGGTATTGCAGATGCAGGGCCTTGGAGGAAGTCAGTGGCTCTCTGCCTGAGATTTAGGGTGGATTTATTTAATTCTGGTCATGGGCCTTGGTGGCCACTCACCAGCACACAAGATTCTGGCCCTTGCTCTCCCACTCTGGGAAGGTTCCTTAAGTTACACCCTTCGCCTCCAGCAGAGGGGAGAGAAAGAGAAGCTAAAATCCATCCTGGGCTAGGGACTCAGGAACCTCAGAAGGAAGGAAGATTTTTACCTCATACTTATTTCTCAAGATCCCCAAGAGGTCTCCACTTCATTGATTTTACAGACCCAGAACCCAAGATAAACAAGAGTAATTAAGTGATCTACCCCTGGGTCACGGTGGACACAGACCCTTTGTTTTCTCAAATGGGTAAACATTGGAAGGTCTCAAGGGCCAGACTCTAGTCCTGATTCTATAACCTGCACGCTGCGCAGCGTCGGCCTCCAGCGGACGCCATGCGAGCCCAGCCTGGGGAGGCCTAAAGGTCTGCTTGGTACTCCAATTTCTGTTTGGAATTTCCATCTTCAGGATATTAAAACAAGTCTCATTTCCCCATGTTGGGCTGGAATAGATGCTCTGGGAAGAGCGGGTGACCTCGAGGCTGTAGGTCCAGACTCCTTACGCACCCCCAGCTCACCGTCCCTGCCCTCTGCGCCGTCCCTGAGTTTCCAAAATGTTTATTCGTGGAGTTACTTTTTTCTTGGTGATAAAAAGTCATGCCACAGCTGAAATCCTGAGCTCCAGTTGTGAAAATCGCTTAGGGGATGATTCAGCCCATCCCACTCCACCCTCCCTTGAGGATGTCAGGGSCCCGTCGCTCTCAGGTCTCCGGATGGACCCTGGAGTGGAGGCAGAGGAAGCAGAGATCATCCCCTGACCAGGCGCCAGGGACCCAGCCAGTGAGGCGCGGCCTGCCTGGCTCGGCTGCTGGCTCTGCCAGCGAGAGCGGGCGGYGTGGGCCTGCGCCGAGCCCCGAGACACCCACGCCCCCAGCTCCCAGACCCAGGGCCCTCCCCCAGCCAGCTTCTCTGTCTTTCTTTATCTCCAATTATAAAGCAGCGCCAGGTTTTCTCGTCAGCCACCGCCATGACTCCAAATGGCTTTTCAGTGTCAGGCCCATCAGGAAATTAACTCGTCATGCAGTGACAGCTGCTAATTTTTCCCCCTTACATGTCAGATGGATCGCCTGCTGAAGCTAATAATGAATCACCAATCCCTGATTAGAAGGTGCTTCCGAAACGTATAACTGCCACCCGAGCTAACTTTTTTCTTCATGTAAAATGATATCACCCTAGAGGAGTAGAAAACGAATCGAGTTCCCCACCATGGCGGAGCGGGAGGCGGCGGCTTCAGTGAGCGGTGCGCACTCTTCCATTATGGGCTGACGCTAAACGGTACAAGAAGTGATGCTTTTCCAGCTTGCTGAATGCATGCCCTTCCTCCCTGGCTCTCCTGCTGGAGCCCACCCTAGCCTAGGTTCTAAGCCGGTCCAGTTCTCTGTGTATGACATCATTCTGCCTTTCTGTTCAGGAAAACAAAAAGCAGGGTAACMCTGGGAAATTTGGATGCTGTTGTGTGGTCCTAGAATTTCCCAGCTGCTGCGCTATTTTGGGCGAGGGCCCTTGCCCCTCACAGTGGGAGTGGTGGTTGAGCTTCCTGGGCTTGGATGGAGACGATGGAGCAAAGATCCACCAGGGCTTCTGATCCTCCAACTTCTAGGCCTTTGATAAAAGTTCCTCTGCTTGACCAAACTTCAGTATGGCCCATTAATCTGGGTATTTCTCAGGAAAGTCCTTTARTAAGAACCCTGCTAGGTCAGGGCTCCACCATCTCTAACGGACCACCCTGGACATCTGGTCAGGTTCCATATCCACCTCCAGGAGGTGTCTGGTGACCCTGGCCTGGCTTCAGCAGGAGTCCTGTTAGGTGGATCAGGTGGACTTCGCCAGAGACCTCCCCGCTGGCCCCTCTCCTCAGTGATTCCCCATCCAGTGGCGTCCATCCACTCCTCCTGGTTATAAATGCCCAGTGGTTCTGTCTTCAGAATCGACCCTGTTCTGGTTGGAGGCCCTTTTCTTCTACCACAGTTGTCCTGAATGAACTGTTTCACCACAGTAGGTGCCAGCAGTGCCAGTCTCGACGTTATGGATTTCCAGCATTTTGCTGACGCCATCTTATCACACTTACTTTTGAAGCAAGTCAGGTAGCAGAAAGGATGCTCTCAGCACAGTGTTGTGGTTTTGTTGGCGTGTTTGCTTTGTGGTGGGAAATGTTTAGTAAGCATCCTCTCCCCCTCACCCCAGCCTGCCTGCTTCAGTCCCAGCGTTGCACCAGTGACCTTGAGTGGCCAAAATGTCCTTTGTCTGGAAAGGGCTATCTGCAAATCTCCACCACACTCCCAAGAACTGGCCAAGTTTTGCCCCGGAAGTAGAAACCTAAGCCATTTCTAGAAGCTGCCATGGAAAACTGGTCCTCCTGTCATGCCATGTATCCTTGGGGCTCAGTCATTGACTGGCTCTAGTTTAATATAATGTGGTCTTTCTGGGCCAGTCTCCAAGTAGATATTCATTGGCTTTGCTTTCTACTTCTTTAAACTTGTTAACATTCCCTGGCAAAAACCTCAAAGAAAGCTACAAGCTTGTTGTATTTTTTCCAGACAATCCACACTGCAATGAATGTCCCTTGCTCGCAAGTCCTGCCACGCCTCATTGTTCTGAGGCACACATTTGTGTATGTGCTTCTTAAAGCCCCTTACATTCCAGTAGTTGTGTAATGAGAGAGAAGGGAGAGGTAACATTAACCCAACTCTACAGGTAATTACAGGATACAATAGCCTGGTGAAGCCTCCGCAATCCTTCTGAGCCTAGAAACACCTTCTGAACAATTCTTTTTATGCAAAGGCCTGCTCTTTTCATTGTGCATACATCGTGATTGCTGGTTTGACACTGCAGGCTACACTGGTTTTATGAAGGATTAAATGCCACCTGAGACATATTTATCCTAAATAAATCACAAACGGTAAACTGCAGCATGTCAGTGTCAACACCCTGGACTGCAGCGGAAAGGTTAGCCACACAGGACTAAGCACAGTCAGGCATTAGCATCAGAGCCGCAGGGCCGCAGGGCCGCCGCTAACAGGAGAAATGATCAAGAAGAAATATTTCCACTGAAAAACACCCCCCCCCTCCTAACATGTATGAGAAGCTTGGAGAGGGCCATCACTTTGTAAAGGTCACCTCTATCCTGATAACAACGGGAGCTGATCCTGTCACTGTTTGCCCAAGACAGGGTTGAAGAAGAGCCGAGTAGCCCTGCCATTTTTAGGAAACACGAGCTAGTCACACTCAGCTAATTATGAATCTCAGTGTCAGACCTGAAGTTTTACCTTTCAGTTTTTTGGGAGGGGTGGCTGTGTAGACGGAGGTGGCCTTGGAATGGGCCGAAACCAAAGCAGCGTGAGGAARCCAGGCAGGGCGCAGGCTCGCCTCCCAGTGGCGCTGGCCCCATGGCCTCAGGCAGAGACTATGTGGTGCTGCACTGACAGAAGGGAGGACCAGCTTCCTTTCCTGTTAATTCTCCAGGATTTCTAGATACAAACCATGAGAGAACACGATCTTGTYGCAGAAAGTGCCTGGGCCATCTGCCGCACGTTCAGAGTGAGCTCCACCTGCAGAAGGTGCTGGCTGGGAGTATACTGGCCGGGGAGAGGAGCAACCGCCCGAAAGCCACTCTCCTGAGCTGTCACAGTGGCCCCACAGCTGGTCACTCAGAGCAAGACATCATCATTATCTTTAATGCTATCATTTTATTTAAAAGAAAACAGAACAAAAACAACAATTTTGGAAAAAAAAATAAGACCAATAGTATCAAGAAACAAATGACTGGAACATGAACTTGCACCCAGTAGTTGCAGTGAATCCACAACTAAACACAGACAATGCTGGTCAGGCAAGGGGTACGGGCATGGTTTCTATTTGTTAATGTTTAATGTCAGCTTTTCCATACTGACACAAATAGATCCTGCAAAATGATATTAATACAAACATTTGTTATAAAAAGCAAAATATTGATATGAACAATATTTTCCAGAAGTATACATTTCATGTATGGACTTTATGATATGGAACAAAGTCAAAATCAGAAGTATCAGCTTTCTTAACCAAGGTCTATTTTAACTGATCGTGAACAGCAAGGCTTTGCTTAACCAGAGTCATCAGATTTCTGTTATGCAGAATGCAACCAGAGCAACGGATACACCTAAAATGCTCGAAGAGGGAATTTATACACSAAATCTACTAACAGGCTTCCTTTGGTCTGGGGATACATTATCCTAAAACTGGAGAAAACAAAACAAAAAAACCAACCAAGGTTGTGGTGGGGGGGAGCGGCTGCTGCAGGATGTAATCACTGGAGCTGCAACTTTCAACCAGACACATAAGGAAGGAAGGAAGGACAGAGCTGCAGGCCAGGCAGCCAGTGACAGGGGTGTTTCCAACCTCCCACGCGGGAAGGGGAAACCAGGAACTGCTTYCCTTGGTGCAGGATGGGGCGGGGAGGCCCAGGAGCAAAGGGCTGGAAGGCACAGGCCTGTCCCTACAGCACGCCCCTGCCCTTCTACTGTGATTCTACAGCTACTCCAGGGCACCAGCTCGGTGCCCGTGAGTGCTTTTCTAGTGGCCTCTGTCACCACCCCTGCAGAGAGCAGGTGTGGCACTTACTGGGGCCATGTGGCCAGTGTTCGGAAGGTTAGAGGGAGCTCAGGGGCACGCCAACCTCAGCGCGGGTCTTTCCACACTGGCCCTGCGCCCAGYGTCAAGGCCCCACCTCAGGCTTCCTGGAGCTCACTACTTTCTCTTTGGCTCTGGATCACCGTGGCTGTCGGGGTGCCCTCCTGGGTGTAAATGACCATGCTTGTCAGCTGCTCCGTGCCATTTGGGGCCACAGCCTCAGCTCGAAGCGCAGCCCCAGCCTGCAGGATCTCCTGAGAGCCAGCTGTCTCTATCACAGTGTGGGAGTACACGCCACCATCCTCCTGCTCCCCGGGGGGCAGCTCCGTCACAATGTAGTGAGTAGCACCCTCGGGGAAGCTGCTGCCGGACTCCCGGACCATGGCCTGGACCAGCTCCTCTGTCACAATGATCTGTGAGATTTCCCCATCAGACTCYACCAGGTCCACGTGCTCAGCTGGCACCCGCAGGCCATGGGTGTCCGCCTCTTGCATGATGAACTGGGAGCCCTCCCCAGCCACCATGTGGACAGCACCCTCCTCATTCAGGATGACCTGAGTGACACCATCCTTGACCAGCTGGCCGGCCGCAGCCGTGTCACACACAGCAAACTGCAGGACTCCTCGGACCATCTTCTTCAAGGCCACCTGGGCTCGCTCCTGAGACGCAACAATGGTCGAGGGCCGGACAACCTGGGTCAGCACCTCCATGGCTGCTGTGCTCTCCTGAGCATCCTGGAACATCTGGATCTCTGGGGCCTCCGGGTCGGCAGTGGTATGGGAGGCCTCCTGACTGGGCAGCCGGATCAGCACGTCTTTATGGCCTGGTCTGGCCTTCTCCTCGTGCCCAGGCCTGCCCTCCACCTCCCCTAACTCAGTGACGGCACACAGCAAGGCGTCTAAGGCTGAGGAGGCATCGGCAGGGGGGGCCCCAGCCTCGCAGAGACTCAGAATCTCCTGCTTGGTCACCTGCTGTATAACAGTGCCCCCTGCACTGAGGGACTCATCCACGCCATGACCTTCCACGGAGCCCCCCACAACGACCACCTGGGTTGCTCCGTCTGCCAGCTGCTCAGGGATGATGGGCCCTGGCACCACGCTGCCCACGTGGGCTCCGTTCTGACTCGTGGCAATGACCTGCCCGTCTTCTGTGATGTGCACCACCCTGGCCACTTGGCCAGCCATTGCCAGCGTCTGCAGTGTGGCTGCAGCGGTCTCTTCCACAGAGGCATCCAGGGCAAACTCCCCATCGTAGCCCTGGATGATGATGACTTGCTGGACCTGCTCGGAGGCCTGGGCAGGCCTCTTGCTGCTCCTGAGGGCCTTCTCTCTGACAGGAGACTCCTCTGCCAGTGCGGCTGCAGTGAAAGGGCTGTCTGTCTCCACAAAGGTGGCTCCCTGTCCCTTCAGACGGCACTCGTAGGACTTGGACACGATGCCTGTGGGAGACAGGACCAGTTAGAGCCTCAGAATCAGGACTTTCAGACTTAAAGCAAGATGGCTGCTCCTCAGGAGCTCTGCAGCCTCAATCAAACACAGCGGCCACTCTGCAGGAGTGCCCACGGCTGCACCCACCAACAGCACCATGAGGCTGTGTGCCCACATGTGTAAAGACACTTACAGGTATGTTACAGGTTTGAGAGTACAAACAGCTGTATGTTCTGTATGCATTTTCCACACTTCTGCATTAACTGTCTGAACACAGTTCTCAGGGGAGTGCTTGCTTTCCAGCTCCTGGGGAGGAGCACAGTTGTTCCCTGTCACCCTGTCTCTCATAGCACATGCAGTGACTGGTGTTAAGTAAAGCTCAGCAAACAGTCAGAGCAGGGTCCTCTAACCCAAAGGAAAATCCTTCTTCAATGTCCAAATATTACGTACAGTATATTTGTTTAGTCAACAAAAAGAATGAAAGCCTTCCAGATTAAATTTTCAAATGTGGCATCAATAAACGCAGCTGTTAAGTGAAATTCAGCACACACTGAGTGTTTCCTACACCTCAGGTAGTGAGCCTGGTGAAAAGACAGCCCAGGGAGGCTGTGGCGAGTCCCTGTGGGCTGGGCGCTGAGCCTGGCACTCTGCTGGGTCTTGGGCACACTAAGGTGGRTGTGCAGCCTGCCAGTGTAAGCCTGAGTGGGATGTCTGGAATGCCACCCCCACTGCCCCACCCACTCCAGTCCAGCCTGGCCCTTGGTGTTGGGGGAGCACATTCTTGGTGTGGGGCAGGATGTTCCTGCTGAGTGACTTGACACTAGGAAGGTGACAAGCTTAAGCACAGAGACAAAGAGGCTACAGGCTCAGGCCATAACATAGAATATTTGGGAAAGATCTATCAAAGAAAACATCAGTCTTTTATTTTTTGTGGTACTAGGCATTGAATTGAGAGGTGCTCTACCACTGAGCCTCTCCTTAACACTCTGCCTTTTAAAAATTATYTTGAGATGGGGTCTCACTGAGATGCAGAGGTTAGAGAGGAGGGGGCATCCCAGAAAGAAGCCAACCTGGGAGGCTTCTCTGCTGTGGTCAGCAGCTCAGGCTTCCAGATTAGACAGCGCATGGGCAGTCAGGCTGCACCAGGCCTCACGCCCTGTGCTAAGACACTGTGGGTACAGGCTGTAGAGAAAAGAAACCTACTGAGTGATTTTAAGCAGAAAAAGTACAGAATTTTTACAGAAGAGGCAAGATGTATGATTTTCCAGGTCATCTCTGAATTTCTTTTCGTGAAAACACTGTGCCTCTTTAGGATATGCCACAATAAGCCTCTTGGGCTGTAGGTAGGGGTAAGAGGGGAGGTGGCTTAGCTGCACTCTCTGTGAGACACGAGGGAAAAGGAAGGAAGCCCAGGGATAAGGATGAGAAGCGGAGCCAGGGGAACCCCCTGGCCTGGGCAGTGATGGGCCAGGAAGGGCAGGTGCGTCCCAGTCCTCCCAATCTATGGTTCCTAACTGGATACCACAGGTAAGCAGGTGAGCTGTCCACCTGGGAAGACAGCGGTCCTGACAGGCTGGAGTGGCGATGGGAGCAGGAGCTTAACACCCATCATGCAGACCTGGGTGGGGACTGAACTGCCATCTGTACCGGAGGAAGAAAATGGGCAGTAGCACTGGGGTCAGGGGAGGAGGCCAGAAAGGGACTGCAGGGATGGGGGTGCTGCAGGAAGGGTGAACAGTAACACTCCAGCCTCCACCAGGTCAACTGAACCAGTCCCTAATTCAATAGGGCAAGGGACACTGGAAATTGTAAGCTTTATTTTCATGGGAAAARAAACTGACTCTTTAAACAGAGCTTCTGTTTTCTTTTTTAAATCTCGATTTTTCTGTTTTGTTATCATTGTCTTCTTTCCTGACAAATAAGAGATGGCCTAAAGAAATGGTCTAGGTTCAGCATTCCATGTACCAATAGAACCACATTTTTGAGATATTCCACTTTACTCTCTTTAATACGGGTCAGTTGCTTAACAGTATACCTTATCCTTACCAAAGGGAAACAGGATTAAGAATTCTATTGGTTATTTATTACTGGCATCCCTGAGAGACAACAGTTTTGCTTACCACATTGGCAGTGTTCTGCAAGAAACCATTTCTTTCAACACTGTGTTAATTCTGAGCACAGACCTCAGGCAGAGGCCTGTCTTCCAGCAGGGTCAGCACTGCAAGAGGGACTGCAGAAGCTGTCAATGGTATCCACCAAGAGGACCTGTCCAGGATCATACCCAAACTTCAGGACAGTGGTCCTGGATTTGCAAGAATTAAATGTCAAGTATTATCATTTATTCTTTCTTGAAAAGTATGAACATAGCATGAATCTTAGAAAGGTTATGGAATCATAGAATCTTAGGTTAAGAAAAGACCAAGGGCTCGCTAGGTTAGCTCCATTCCTAGGAGCTCCTCCCGTGTGTGTGCAGCAACCGCAGCATCCCCTGGAGCTCAGTAGGCAAGCCAGGCGGAGATCATCACATCTCAAGGTAAAGTAACCCTTTCCAGAGGAGGGACCCACAGGTCCCTAAGTCTAGTTAGGACTCCATACTTAGAGTGCATCCTTGCTTCCTCTCACTGACTCCCCTCGAAGGCACAGAGAACAGCTGGGTGCTACTAACTCCAGCTCCCAGGCAAGTGCTGTTGGAGCRCAATGCAGATCCATGGTGTAGCAGCCACAGGTCTGCATGCTGTGGTGTGCAAGCCTCTGCGTCTCACACGGGCAGTGACCCTCTGAGCTCAGAGCAACTTCCTGCCTCTCCTTCCCYGCGCTCTAGTTGACGAAAGAAGAACAGCCAATTGCCTGGTGAAGACTAGAGTGTAGAAGATAAGGATGAGAGTGGTTAAAGCACAAGGATCCTAGAAAGTGAAGTCTGAACCACTGTCGATACATTTCAACCTGGTCTCAAATCATCTTCTGAACTTTAATCCTCCCTCAATTCTCTCTCCTCTAAGAGGTTAGAAGGCCTACAAGGAGAAGGCTTGGCATGATTGGAGTTCCACAGAGATGCCACATTCTTCTCCATTTATGCTTCAGTTTGGGCTGGGCCTGGTGTGGTCCATCCCTGGCCAATTTGCCACCCATCAGGACCTCTACTCTTAGTCAAATGTGCTTTAAACATTCTCCCTGGAGTCTGCTGCAGTTTCTCCCTTAGTCCCTACTTCTCTCCCTAGGATGCAATATTCTACTTGCCTTCTTTGTAGTCTTAACTTGATTTGTTTCTGCCCATTCTTTAATTTCAAGGTCATTTTTAGTCTATTCTGAATTTGTAGAAAATAAAGGAAATAATGACACAAAAACAAAAACAAAGAAGGTAGCCTTCAAATCATTCCTCTCCCCAACTAATCATAAGAAAWGGACATTACCATCAGACTAAACAGCAGGAGAAACCAGGGCAGAGGGGAAAGAAAGCATCAGCTCCCCTCCTCAGGTGGGCTCCCAGAGAAGTGCCACATGCTGAGCCCAGGCAGCCCCTGCCCCCAGCAACTGGAAGGAAGATCTCTTGGGTACAGAACGATCCCCTTTGAATCCCTTGCGGCACTGATAATTATGCTCCTCTGAACTACTTACTGAATTTATTTGAATCCAGAGGTGGGTTAGGCCACCTCCAGAGCATTAAAGTAAACTACGTGGGTAAATACTGCTGTCAGCCGGGCCGTGAAGACGCTTAACGGCACCAGCGCTTTTACCTCCGGCAGCACAGGCCCGCTAGTCCATCACAGTTCATAAATGTGCGTGCAGGTCCATCTTTTGATTCAGCAATTTAATAACTTCGAGTGCTGTCAGTACTGCTTTGAAAAATAGCACCCATAAAATGTAACAGCCTCAATCAGATTGAAAAAGATTCACCCACTGAAGATTCTTCCATTTCAACCATAATGAATTAATGTGGAGCTATGTAGAAGTTCAAGTGTCATTTAAACGAATGTGAATCTCTACTGCAACTTTAAATTCCAACTGGGCTATGACCAAGAATTTACTGGGCACGTCAACTTGAGTTTCTGAGCTCTTTCTAGTAAATATGAACTGTAAACTTCACCAATGCAAATGGCCAAATGGAGATGGCATTTGGAAAAACAGGACCACAGTACAAATTTTATCATGGACAGCTTAGTCCCTGGTGTGACTCCCCATGAGCACAGATCTTTAGTAGACTCCAGCAGCCCAGCGCAGTATTTGTGCTGCACTTTACATTTTTTAAAGATGTCAGATTTCAGTCTAACAGTAGCTAACCAAACAGGCCTGTTCTGGATCTGTTTCCAGTAGGGCAGACGGTGCAAGAGGAGCTAAAACACAGCTTCAGGACTGTTCCTGAAAACTCCAGCTGAGTGCTCGTTTGCTTCCTCGAGTACAAAGATACCATCCCGCCTTCTCATAGCTAAATGCATTGAAAGTTTACAATGTGGTTGAAATAAAAAGGTTTTTTTTGGGTATTTGAGAGCTTGTTTTGGGGGAAGTGATTTCAAGTTAGGCTCCCTTTTCCAGAATTCCACAATGAAGCTGCAGCCCTCTCTGGAAGTAGAACAGCCCCAGATGTGGAAAGCACAGCTTCTCCCTGCCAGAAGGGTGGGTGAGGTGTGGGGACGGGGTTCTCCCCACAGGCTCTGACCGCTCCGCTGTATGGTGCTTCTGGGATGAGCTGTGAGCACCTGACCCCTCCTCCTGGGGTGAGCTCCCCTTTCTTTACTGCCATCTCTTCTTCCCACAGAATAAATACCTTATGCTTTTGTTAAGCTTACATTTAATTAAAATGTACAGAATTTGTGCAGTAAACCCGAATGAAACAAATAAAACAAGGGCCCCCTCTCTTGAAGGCATACGTTGTGAATGAAAAATGTCATTACAGACTAAAAAATTTTGCAGTAAACAGGGCCTACAGAGAGAAGTTTCCCCTGTAATGACATCCATAAAATACACAAATGGCACTTTTAGTACCATCCTGAATATGGCATTTTCTGTGCTCTAC